ATAATTGGGATGGGAGTGTCAGAGACAGTGCGATTGGCACAGGACAGAGCAGAGTTTAGGGCTGTTGTACATAGGGTTGCTATGAGTCGCAGGTGACTCGACGGCACATAACAACAACAACAACAACAAGTATTTCCTTGTTCTGTTAGCACAACAACCTCTTGGTCTAGTTATAAGTTTCAAGTGAGCACAATTAAGTGTTCTGGGATTTCCATTCTTCTCAGTGTTAGACATAATTTGTTATGATCCACATAGTCAAATGCCTTTGCACAGTTAATAAAGCATAAACAGACATTCTTCTTGTGTTCTTTACTTTTAGCCAGGGTCCATCTGACATCAGCAGTGATATCCCTGGTGCTATCGTCTCTTCTAAATCCTGCTTGAACTTCTGGCAGTTCTCTATCTATGTACTGTTCTAGCTGTTTTTTGAATGATTTTCAGCAGGATTTTGCTGCATATTATTCAATAATTTCCACATTTTGTTGGATCACTTTTTTTTGGAAAAGGAACAAACATCAAACATGGTTCTCTTCCAGTCAGTGGCCTGGACACTGTTCTACAAGTTTCCTGGGATATACTGATGAGCACATTCAGGCCTTCATATGTTACTTGAAACATGTTAATTGGTATCCCATCAATTCCTGGGGCCTTATTTAGTGCCAATGCCTTCAGTGCAGCTTCAACTTCTTCCTTCATTACCACTGGTTCTTGTTTATATGGAAAAGTCAGTTTTTATATTGTTAGTGAGTTGTTTTTGTTATGGGGACTCTGTGTGTTTCCTCCATCTTCTTTTGAACCTTCTGAGGTCAGTTGATAGATGGCCTAGTGACAAGAAGCTGTGCTGCAATCCGGAAAGCATATGATTTGAATCCCCCAGTTGCTCCACAGGAGAAGATTGGGCATTCTCCTCCACGTGATTAACTAACTCCCTCTGAAAATCCACCACAGCATTAGCTATGGGTCAGTTTCAACTCAACAGTACAAAAGAACAATAATATCCTTCAATATTTCAACTCAAGGCTTAAATTTGTTTTCAGTTCTCACAGCTTGAGAAATGCTAAACATGTTCTTCTCTATTTATTTTCCAATTCCAGCTCTCTACACATTTCATTATAAAACTTTGCTTTGTCTTCTCAAGCTGTCCTTTGAAATCTTCTGTTCAGTTCTTTTACTTCAGCATCTTTTCCCTTTGTTTTGGCTTCTCAATGCTCTAGGACAATTTTCAGTATCTCTTCTGACATTCATTTTCGAGTTAGTTTTTTCCCCCCTTCTGCTGTCTTCATGGATAATATCCTTGCTGTCATCCCAAAATTCATCTGGTCTTTGATCATTGGTGTTCAATGCTTCAAACCTATTCTTAAGATGATTTTTAAATTTGCGTGGGACAAACTCAAGATGATACTTTGGTTCTCATGGACTTGTTTTAATTTTCTTCAGCCTCATTTTGAACTTGCGCCTGAGTAATTGACGGTCTGTTTGCAGTCTGCCCCGGCCTGGTTTTTGACTGCTGATATTCAGCTTCTCCAAAATTCCTTCTACAGATGTAGGCAATCTTTAGTTAATGAATACAGGATTTTTAAAAACCTCATCCCAGCAGTTCAAATCCACCAGTTGCTCTAGGGTAGAAAGATAGGCAATCAACTCCCATGTACTTTACAGTCTCTGAAAACATGCTGGAGGCTCAGCTTTGAATAGCTTCCAAACGGATAGCTTCCTGCTAATGGATATTTAGGTTCTTTCTTTTTATTTTTTTTTTTAATTATTTCAAACGATTATTGTAATAACAGGCAAGTCCATGGCTCAAGCCTCTGGTTAGAATGGAATTGAGTACATGTGTCTTGAATTTTACTAAGTATTATTTATTCCCCTAGTACTTGCTCACCTTTCCCTCCTGGCCTAGTGATAAGAAACTGCTGCAATCCCAAAGGCATGTGGTTCAAACCCGCTGGATGCTCCACAGGAAGAGGATGGGAAACCTCTGATTAACTGCCTCTGAAAACCCGCTAGAAGGCCAGCTATGAGTTGGTTCCAAACCACAATCAGTGTAGGAGAAATGCCATTACACTATAGTCTCCTCAACAATTATTATTAGTGACCTTCAAAAAATGATGTTCATACTGTTTATGAAAGATCAGTTTTCAATTAGCAATAAG